TGTTTTTTGAGGGGGGGGGGGGGAGTAATACTCTATTTTACACTCTGCATTATTCTTTTGCAGTAAGTAGAGGATACAGTATACAGGATGTAGCAAAACAGGCAGAAGTGCTATTGTATCTCAGGCGAAAAGGTTTTTTAACTAGTTCAGATCTGCTTGACTCGACTTGTCTTATGGTTTGATGCAAATCCACAACTGGACGCTTACCATTTTTGTTGATGAAGATATTTACTGTGTTCATAACAAAATTACTTGGAAAAACACAGAAATCTACTTTCGTGCAACTGATAACTTGTTTTGCTTTCCCCAATGCTATAAAGCTAAAGTCTACTGGAAATAATAGAAGTACAAAGCAACAAAGGATATCTCCACCATGGTAACCATCTTTGGTTTTAGTTTGACGAGTTCATACAGTATCCCTCCATCACCTCCTCCAAGAATTAGCACTTCTTTCCCACAGTAGTCTTCTTTTCCACTGCCCATGATAGCATGGGTATATGCTATGTCACTCTCTGCCAGGTCTGGAAGAAATGCACACAGCAGAATTTAAATTAATAAAATATGGTTTAACAGCAACAAACATTTAGCCAAGTAAACTATTTGCATAAATACAGTACTAACCTCCACCAAGAGAAAATATACCCTGTTTTCAAGAGTTTAAATAATAACATGGAAGCCCCCAGCAACGATGTAAAAACAAACCTATGGCCTCCATGATATCTTTTTTAATTAAGCCTGGTACTAGTGAGGTCACCTCCAGGCAGGCTTTGTTAGCTTTCAGAGCGACAAAAACACTAAAAATCTACATAACTCTATTAAGCAAACATTGGCCAGAAATGACATGCTAACATTCCTTTCTTCATAACAATTTGTGATCATATAAGAATTAAGGGTTAAAGAAAGGCATGCCATTGGAAAAGCTCTCCTGCAACCTCACCTCACACAGGAACCTGGATTTTTAAGATACCTCATTTTGCAGCTTGATTACACGGAGTCATGGAGCTTACACAGACAAGCCCAACTCTGGGCTCTGTGCCGGGCCCCATCCCACCCCCAAGCCCACCCTACCCCAGAGCATTTGCGCAAATAGGAAAAAACAGAGTTCACTACAAGCAGCAGGTTACTGCAATAAAGTGCAAGCACAAAGTCCTTACAAAATGTCTCCAACTTGGAAGCAGACCTAAATGCACTGTTTGATTGAACAGCTATGTGGTAAATGAGGTCTAATGTTGATAAATGTACCGTTATGTACTTGGGGACTAAAAACATGCATGCTTCATACACTCTAGGGGGAGTACAATTTAGGGCTGCAACAACTAATCAATTAAAATCGATTATAATCAATAATGAGACTCGTTGGCACTGATTCTCATTATCGATTAGTTGATTTTAGGTTAGTTGCCGCTGCTCTGCTACTTCGTTCTCCTCCCCGCTGGTGCTGGCTGCAGCAGTCTGTGTCCCTTTCAATCCGCGTTGTTATCGGCAGAGGGGATACAGACCACTGCAGCCGGCACCAGCGGGAAGGAGAGACCGCTGTGACTGCTTTCCCCCGCTTCCCCGTTCCTCCTCTGCCCCCTTGCCTCTGCTGCTGCCCCGTTCCTTCTCTCCCCCCGTGCCTCCGCTGCCTGCCCTGTTCATCTAGAGGCTAGGAGCCATACCCAGCAAACACCAATAGCAGGCTGGCCATTATCCTCCGCATGCTGCCTGCTGTCAATCATCAGAGGAGGACCTGATGGAGAACTTTGTCCTTCAGGTCCCTCCTCTGCTGATTTAAAGCAGGCAGTGGGTGCAATAGCATGCCTGTTATTGGCTATTGCAATTTGAAGTTAAAGGAGAACTATGAGATGAGTGATTTCCACTCACCTCATAGTTCTAGCCGACCTGTGACAATGAGACTGTCACAGGTCGGCTCAGTAGATCGGGAGGTGAGCGAACACATACCAGGTTCGCTCACCTTCCGATCCTGTCACGGCTCTCTGCCGTGACAGGGGGAGGGGCTGGATTCCCCTCTCCCTGCTCCGATCTGCCAGCGCTGACTGGCGGAACGGACGGGGGAGGGGGCGGGTACAGCTGGCTCTGCCTCTAGATAGGCAGAGCCAGCTGTCACTCACACAGCTGGGCGGATCCCGTCATCTAAGTCGGGATCCGCTCCGGCGTCTCAGTATACCCTAAGGAGAACTATGGGGAAAAGCCCTAACCCCATAGTTCTCCTTTAAATAAACTAAAACTAAAAAAACACTAAAACATTTAAAACAGTAAAAAAAAAAGTTAATACAAATTAAAAATGCAAACAAATAGAAACAAAGTTAAATAAATAAAAAATGCAAAGAAAACATTTTTTGGTATGTTATTTTAAATAAAAGGTTGGTTATTTTATTATATTTCTTTTACAATTCACATAATTTCAAATCCATGAAACTAATTAACATGTCTAGTGTAATACATACAATTATTAGAAAAATATATATATAAAAAAAGGTGGGAAAAGTCATTTTGTGTGTTGCAGTGCGATTCATTTGGATCAATGGATCCCAAATGCACCTCCCGTGTGCAGTGTGATCACCCACACTGGTACTGCAATGCCCTGCGTTCCAGTGCAGTACAATTTTTTTAAATGTGCAAACCGTTTTATTCTGAAATAAACTTTATTGCTGTAACACTGAAATTTATTTAAAATATTATTTTATTAATGTTTTATTCACATTATCTGATTAATCAAAAAAAATAAAATTGGCCAATGAATCGATTATGTAAATAATTGTTAGCTGCAGCCCTAGTACAATTGGGCGAGTCCATGATCGGGAAGGATATGGGTGTTCTAGTAGACCATAGACTCAATAATAGCATGCAATGTCAAGCTGCAGTTTCTAAAGCAAGCAAAAAAAAAAATTATTGTATTAAAAAGGGTATAGATTCCAGAGAGAGACATAATCCTGCCCCTGTACAAATACTTAGTAAGATCTTATCTGGGATATTCACTTAAGTTTTGGGCTCAAGTTCACAAAAAGGATATTGTGGTACTGGAGAGAGTGCAGTGAAGGGTGACTAAAATAATAAGAGAAGGAGCTCAGCTATGAAGAAAGATTAGCTGACCTGAATTTGTTCTCTCTGGAGAAGAGGTGATTAAGGGGAGACATGATCACTATGTATAAATACATAAATGGTCCATACAGTGAGCTTGGTGCCAAATTATTCACTTGAAGGTCACTGCAAAGGACAAGGCGTCACTCTTTGCGTCTGGAGGAAAAGAGGTTTAACCTTTGCATGCAGTGTGAAATAGGCTACCTTAGAAACTAGTTCTAGCTAGCTCAGTTAATTGTTTTAAAAAATCTGGATGCATTTCTAAATGTACAGAATATAATTATATATTAACATTTTATAAGTCAAAAAACACCAGAGATCATTGATCCAGGGAATATTTGATTGCCCTATGGGGATAAGGAAGGATTTGTTCCCCTATTGGAGCAAATGGAATCAGGCTTAAAAGGGATTTCTTTTCCTTCCTCTGGATCAACTGTGGGTATATGTGAGCATAGGTCATTAAACACCAGTTGCTTTCCACTATTTTGTATTTAGCATCTGATTGTAGAATTTACTTAACTGGTGAGGCTGACAACATGACTGGAACCCTTAATCTCTATAATGTTGCAGTGTTCTGAAGTTAGAACCTTTTATTCATGGATTTCCATTTTGGGTGTCACGCATTAATAGAAAAGATGGAACTGTATCCTTTGCTCATGGTATGGTAACCAATATCAGGCTGCTCTAAAACTCAATTGGGTCTCAAATATGAATGCATCAGTAGTGTGCTGCCACAATATTTTTATTCATAGGCACAGTCAATATTATGTCAGTTAATGTGAGATGAGACATTATATGGTTTATTTTCCTTAAGCCATTTTCTCATTGATATTGTATGGTTAAGTCATGTGCTGCCATCAAGTGGTCATTTTAGATAATTGCACCTGGTTATTGCACATGTTTTCTGTGTTCCCTCCCATCTATGATGTATTTCTTCTTCTTGTTCAGTGTGGAGTGTCATGGCTGCTTCTAACAGGACCACATGTTAATCCGCATTGCATGCTTGGAAACATTATCATCTTTGACCACCTTAAATACCACCAATTCATTCATCTGCTGTATCCTGTTGTCTCCTGTAACCTGCTGCACGGAATAAAGTACTTTGTGGATGGAAAAGGTATTTGGTGAGTTCAGCTATCTGATAAGGATTGTCCACAGTGATTATATCTGCTTATAAAGGGCAGGCATAGAGGTCTCAGCAAGGGATAAATCGCTAATACAACAATCGGAGTCAGAACAAGTAGCAAGAAACATCAGGATTACCTTACAAACACAAATTAGATTTCCATCAGCTATGGGAAAGGAAAGTATAAATCTAACAGGACAGGCAGAAGAAGTGAAGAAAGCTAAAGCAGGAGAAGTGAACAATTTAGGACAACATGGCTGAACTGGAGAATGTTTCCATATCAGCTATGTTGTCCTAGATTGTTCACTTCTCCTGCCTTCTCCAAACCCCTCACCCTTTAGTGAATAGCCCTGTACAGTAAGTGTGGGAAATGTTGTACATTTTTTGTACTAACACCGGGATACACAGGACTCACTGAACATATGTAAAAGCTACCTCAGGTCTGTCTAATAGAATTTGAGAAAATGCAAAGATGGCAAGCTTTTTTTAATTTCTATTGGACAGACCTGAGGTAGCTTTTATATATTTTAGTTAGTTAGGGTCCCACAGAATAGTATTACTTACTGACATCTCCATTGAGTATGAGGATGTTTCCAAACTGCTTTGAGTGGAGAATTTTAATATTCTGATAAGGCGAGTCCTTATAGTATACTACTTCATCTATATCGTACTCTACCAGGCGCCCATCGGCTGTGGGCCAGTATCTGTCAACCTGTGCCCCACGAACAATGGCTGGCAACCTAAAGACAAAATAAAGAAACAAGCACTTATTACAGGAACAAATACAAATATGATTTAAAATGGCAAGTTCAACCCAGGCGAAAAAACTTTGAAAATGCAAGAAGCTGATTAGCTGCCATGTACAGCTGTTTCAGATTCTGTCTGCTCCAGTCTTAGTAAGTTCCCCTCAATGGTCTCATGACTAATAACATTTAGTACCACAAATAATTCAGTGAAAGAGCAGTGGGGAAAAGGTGGACACTGTGCTTGCTTATAATCAAACATTTAATTTAACTGCAGCTTACCAGTCCTTAAATGTGGTGGCTGCATTAGTTTGCCTTTTCAGTTTTTGTTAACCTTACTGTTGATCCTGCCTGTAACACACTTGTTGACCATGGTGAAAAATGTGTCACCCCTTAACTACAAACACCTCTCCCTCCGCTCCTCCTCATTACAAAGAGGGGAGTTGTTTTGTATTTCACAAATGACACCTGGGAAGGTTTGAGATTTCAATCCAGGTCACAGAAAGTTACAAGGACACAAGAGTTCAACAGAGTTTTTTGTACTTGCAATAACATTCTTTTTAGGGATGCACCGATACCAAGTACCGTACTCGGTACAAGTACAGATATTTTTCAAGCTCCAAGACTAGCCTAGAGAAAAAAAGTTAGGAGGCAGCTGTCATTTGTAAGGAGCATACAGAGCTCCTGGGATTTGTACATCTCTGTTTTAATGTATGATTTTGTTTTTATAAATAAAGGAATGCACCAATAGCAGTTTTGCAAATACAAGTATTGATACATTTTTGTTTATTGTCATGTGACAGTTTTTCTAAAACAACATCAACTAATGATTTCAGGATTGTCATGAAGGACAAGTAGATTTGGCCCCCACTTTAGCCCTTGGACAAGTAGTTTTTTAAAAAAATTTCCACACCCCTGAGTTGTAGTACCACTTAAGACTGTAAGGTCCCCAAAGCATCTCTCAAGAAAATCGAAGAAAACACGAATGCCCATGAAACCACAGACTATAAACTGACAAAGCTAGTGTCAGTAGACCCAAAAGTAAAACAGACAGTTCCATGAAACGACTGAACACATACTGGCTTGGGATTCACATCCCAGATGCACAGTACACTGAGACACTGAGGGTGGAAGAATCCCTGATAGGAGCAAAAAGCATTACTGGTGGAACTGAAAAACCAAATGAAGATCCCAGGGAGTAATGGGAACTGCACAAGGGACACACCTGAGAGATACCCTGTACAAACACCCCAAAAAAGAAAAAACAGCAGTGTCAGGCCCCAAATTTATACCACAAAAATCTCCTGGAGCAAAGGTCTCCAGCCTCACACCAGATGAAGAACATCTTCCGGGGAAAAGATAAGCCTGCAGGAAGCAGATTCCAAGCTACCAACAGAGTTGGAATCAACAAAGCAGAAATCCACGTGTCCTTTAGGAACGGAGCATCAAAAGCAATACAACTGGCCATGAAATATAGAAGATCAGGGTGATCCAAAAGAGTCCATGGAACACCCTCCAGAAGACTCCAGAAAACAACCATCTCCGCATGAGGTTGGCTGCCTGCCTGCAAGGCTAAAACATGCCATGTTGTCCAGGAGCAGATATCTATTAACCTGCCATGGAAAAACTACAAGGTCCTCAGTGCAACAGAAGTATACAATCAAGAAGGCATTCACTGATTTAAAAATAGGTGACCATCCATACATTGAAGAAGGAACAATCAAAAAGCTGAATACCACTAGGGCTGCAGCTAACGATTATTTTCATAATGGATTAGTTGCCAAATAATTTTTTCAACTAATCGATTGGTTGTACAAACAAAAAAAAACGTTCTCCCTCCCTCCCCCTCTACTCCATGATGAGAATAGTTGCCAACTATTCTCATAATCGATTATTATTTATTTAGTTGATTAGTTGTTGCAGCCCTAAACAGCACAAGTAAAGATAGAAGGTTAACTAGTCTCCGGTGTCCCAATCTCACCCCCACCCACAAGGTGACCAGGATACCCTAGCTCTGAAGCTAGACTAAAGGGTCTTCTCAGGTCTGGAATGAACTGTGGCAGAATACCAAAATTTGAGCTGCAAAGTTTCATTATTGAAAAACGTTTGAGTTTAATACTGCTTTAAGAAAACAAATGCACATTCGATAGAGATACCTTTTGTGTTAAAGAGGTACTTGCCCAAAAATACCGGAGCAATGGTTTTACATTTGCATGTTGCTTTCCATCTAACACTATGCACTTTAATTGGCATCCACAGATCTAAGATGTATACAATTCCAAACTCTAGCCATATGGATGGATGGAAAACACCTTCCCCGGGGAGATATTAACTACTAATAGCAAAAAGCTACAGACGTTAAATGGAATTCCTACCGCATAAAATGTTAATTGGCAGCCGTATGGTGCTGCTAAAGCACAAGCGTGGGTGTTCTACAGCTTAAGGGAGACACAGGTTTATAGCAACTTACAAAAGTAAACCAAGAGCAGCAAGCAAACAGTTCTCAATGAAATATATATATGACAGAAAAGCATCCCGTGGAAATAGTTTACCTTGAGACATCATGAATGCATTTTGATAAAGTTGCCTGAAATAATTGCTGCATATATCCAAAGAAATCAAAGATATATGAACTTGGTTTGGAGCCAATACATTCTGTGACTGATGTACAGATGAAACATTCGCTACCTTGGGCTGAGAATTTCCCACACATCCCATCTGCTGTGTTAGCCAATTAATATTCATTTACAGTAAAGTGGGGCACAGAGGTATGACGTGTACGCTTAGTGCATTGAAAATGCTTTTTCTCCAGCTCCCCAACTTTTAATTAGTGTAGTAAACCGGTGATGCTACAATTAATGTAAAAGTTTATCTAGACCCAATAATTAAAGTGTGACTAAAGCAAAAACTTTATCCTCGTTGACCATCAGGGAAATCCCTCACTTAGGAGGGATTCACCTTCACTTTTTGTTGTGGCTATTAGACAGGAAGTGAAGGGAAACCTCCCCAATGGGACACACATGGCAAAAAGAAAAAAAGCTGGCAGGGGTTATAACCCTCCCTTACTCTATTTAAAACTAAAAAGGTTTGTCTTCAGTTGTACTTTAATATATCCTGAATTTCGACAACAGTAACCTATAAAACTCAAGGACCATTTATAGGAAGCCTCTGGATTTTACTACATGGCGAGAAGTGATAAAGAATGTAAATACTGAACACTGAAAGGTTTGCTAGGCTGATGCAAGATTCTTTTCAGTACCAGGTTCTGTCTTCTTCTACATGTATTACAAGTGGAAATGAAACCTATTTGCATGTATCCATCGAGGGTAACTCCACCTTTCAACACATCTGATACTGTAAAATGGACTGGTGAGAGCTTCGTATTTATTGTTATCTACCTGGTAAACTTTGGATCAGATATTTCTGGCATTCATTTTTCACATTCAGTTTAAATCAAATCAGGTAGGCTCTTGCATTACATCATCAGGATAGCTATACACACATACACTACATTACCAAAAGTATTGGGACACCCCTCCAAATCATTGGATTCAGGTGTTCCGTGAAATTCCTTGCTACTAAATATTCCACGGTCAACTGTTAGTGGTATTATAACAAAGTGGAAGCAACTGGGAACAACAACATAGGACGTAAAAGGACAGAGCGGGGTCAGCTCATACTGAAGCACACAATGCGCAGAAGTCGCCAACTGTCTGCAGAGTCAATAGCTACAGATCTCCAAACTTTGTGTGGCCTTCAGATTGGCACAACAACAGTGCATAGAGAGCTTCATGGAATAGGTTTCCATGGCCGAGTAGCTGCATCCAAGCCTTACATAACCATCCCATACAAAGCACCGGATGCAGTCGTGTAAAGCAAGCCGCCACTGGACTCTAGAGAAGTTCAGATGTGTTCTCTGGAGTGACGAATCACGCTTCTCTGTCTGGCAATCCGATGGACGTGTCTGGGTTTGCTGGTTGCCAGGAGAACAGTAGCCAGGAGAATTTGTATGACTGCATTGTGCCAAATGCAAAGTTTGGTGTGGGAGGAGAATATGGTGTGGGGTTGTTTTTCAGGGGTTGGGCTTGGCCCCTTAGCTCCAGTGATGGGAATTCGTAAGGCATCAGCATACAAAGGCATTTTGAACAATTTCCTGCTCCCAACTTTGTGGGAACACTTTGGGGATCTCCCCTTCCTGTTCCAACATGACTGCGCACCAGTGCACAAAGCAAGGTCCATAAAGACATGGATAAGCGAGTTTGGGGTGGAGGAACTTGACTGGCCTGCTCAGAGTCCTGACCTCAACCCCCATAGAACACCTTTGGGATGAATTAGAGCGGAGACTGGGAGCCAGGCCTTCTCGTCCAACATCAGTCCCTGACCTCACAAATGCGCTTCTGGAAGAATGGTCAAACATTCCCATAGACACACTCCTAAACCTTATGGATGCCTTCCCAGAAGAGTTGAAGCTGTTATAGCTGCAAAGGGTGGGCCAACTCAATATTAAACCCTATGGGCTAAGACTGGGATACCATTAAAGTGTATGTGTGTGTAAAGGCAGGCGCCCCAATACTTTTGGTAATATAATGTAGATTTCTCTCGTTCAGTGCGTGGGCCAAACCAGAGAAAATCAGTATATTCCTCCATTCACGCTAAACAGCATGGAAGGGGTAATCTGCACTGTAAATCAATAAACCTGTAAAATAATAGAATCAGTACTGCCAACTATTGTATTCCTCCGATATGTTTCACCCAATCCTGGGCTTAGTCATAGAGAAGTGATTCAGCAAGGAACGGAGGGCGATCAGATTCTTCCTTTACTTTTATGTACCTGTTTGTTTGGAGCGAGGACACACTCCTGACTATGAGCACATGGCTGTATTTCCCCTGCTAAAGCCATAGAGGAGTGGTGCTTTATTCCCATGCCGTGGTGTAACAGAAAGCCGCAGCAGCCAAAACTGCCTGAATACCTCAACAGTGACTTCATCCAATAGACTTCGGTCAGTGTTCAGCCGATAATTTCCCACCCAGTTCAGTCGATTTTTAAATCAACTTTCTTGAGCCAGGTGGTGCAAAACAAACATTACTCCCCCCAAAAAATAATTGTATTACAATTATTAAGTAACTAGGCTATAAAAACAAGTGATCTCAGTAAAAACAAACCACTAAAAGTGTGTAAGGTGTTTAATTAAAATGAATATTAGCTTTCAACCACAAGAGGGAGCTAAATCATAACATTCACCACACAAAACAAGCAATTATACACTACATGGCCAAAATGTGGACATCTGACCATCATACATAGGCCCCTTTCACGCACATTCCTTCAGTTCTGATCAGAGAAATTCAGAACACATGTCACCGTTGTGACATCTGTGCCCGTCCAGTTTCTTGCTCCATCGCAAGATGAAAAACTGAACTTGCCCATGATGGAATATGAGGAGTCGGATGTGAAAGGACATGTCCTTTTTCATCAGATTACCTTGCTTTTTCAGACCTGGATGGAGGCAGGGGGTAATCAGATGTCCGTTTAGATCCAGCTGCCCCTAAACGACATATGACAATTACAAGGCCCACTGTATGCATAATATATTGCTGGGATTTGTTGTATTCCTATATAGCTGGTGGTATTCTGCATTGCGCTGTATAGAGGACTACAAATCCCAGCAATAATACATTATACAGCGCAATGCAGAATACCAGCAGCTATAGATGACTACAATTCCCAGCAATAGTACATTATAGCTGGTGGTATTCTGCATTGGTCTGTATAATGTACTATTGCTGGGTTTTGTAGTCCTCTCTAGCTGGTGGTATTCTGCATTGCACTGTGATAATGTATTATTGCTGGGATTTGTATTCCAGCACTGTGTACCATCAGCTATAAAGGAATACAAATCCCACTATCCCAGCAATACATTATAGAGCACCATGTGTGGGAAAGTGCAGGCTTACCTAAGTAGTTTTCCAGCAACATGCTTCTGAGATGAGATCGGGCCTGTCTGTCAGCGGCTGTCATCTCCCCATGCCTGCCCCTCCTTACTTCTTCTACCCGCGTCCCTGTGCTGACTGTGGATGTGGGTGTGTGGGCGGTTCGCGGGTCTGGCAGCGGTGAGCGTGAGGCGGGGAGGAGGTGCAGCGTGTGTGGAGCCGTGAACAGAGCCAACGAATCGAAAGACGATTATTCGATGATTGAAAACGTTGACAACTTTTTCAATCATCGATTATAATCAACTTAATCGATTAGTTGTTGCAGCCCTAGATTTCACATCCCTGCCATAGACTAACAGTGAGCTTCTGATCAGATCCGCCTGAAAAACTGCTTCTTCAAGCTATCTTAGTAATGCCGTGAATAAGCTGAATGTGTACACATAGAGTGTGAGCCAGGTCAACATCAGTACCAGACCTCTCAAGTGCTCTTTGGCTGAACGGGCTCCAAAATCTTGTGGAAAGCATTCCCGGAAGAGTAAAGGCTTCTATAGCTGCAAAGGGGCAATTCCATATAATTGGCTATGGTTTAGGATTACAATCTCCAACAAGCTCATATTGGTGTGATGATCAGTTGCCACAAACCTCTGGCCATAAAGTGTACAAGAAACAGCGTTCTATGGCACTTTAGCACAATTCCTATAGAATGCAACTTGGAGAATCCATAAAACTAGCAAGCTTGTTCCTCGCTCACATGGCCATCTGTAGCAGTGTCTCTCCCATGACATTTTTGTAAAGAGATATGAGAAATGTTTGACAGTATATGGCCAGCCAGAAGAAATTGCAAGATGAAAGTAAAGCTTGCTGCCTTTTACCCCAGTGTTTCTCCTACTAAAACCAAAATGCTCCAGGCTGTCCTGTTCTTAGGAAAACATTATTAGAATGACTGTGAGCACAAGACTTTAGCAAAGCACTAGGCAATAGGAAGTGACAAAAACAACTTACCGCTTCACTTGAGTGATACTGTTGTGTAATATATCTTTCATTTTTTCTTCTACCTTGCCTAATATCTGAGAGGAAACAGATTATTACACTGTTACGGAAAACTCATTGAAAAAAAAATCCAACAAAATAGATATAACAGGGCAAAGATAAAACATAAATTTTTTCCTTTTACACATTGTTTTGGATTTTACCTATGTACATTCTAAGTAGAATGTATTTCAGATGTGTTAAAAGAGAACTATGGAATACGCCCTTTTTGTATTTTTCGTTTCCTTAATGATACAGGGATACATTGTGCAATGTACTCCTGTAATCAAAAATCTACCATAAACTTAAAATGAAATTTAATATACTGTGGGTGGGGCTAAGCTCTGTGCTGAGACAATACTGTCTGGATCCTCCTCTCCCATTGAGTGGCAGCAGCTTGTAGGAGCTGCTGCAGGTTCATGAGAATTTTATCAATGTAATTTTACAAGTCTACGAACACTAGCACATCCCTCCCGCAGTTTGTCTTTTGTTCTTTCCTCTCCTCTCCACACTGCTGCCTACAGACAATACATATACCACATCGGCACGAAGACATCAGTTCATCTCTGTCCTCGCCCCCCTCTCTTCCACTCTGCTGTCTTTATCTCTTCTTCTCCCTGTGTATGTCCCAAGATAGCAGAGTGGAGGAGAGGGGTGGTGGGGACAGAGCTGAACGGTGTGTCTTAGTGCCGATGTGGTATGTGTATTGTCTGGAGGCAGCGGTGTGGAGAGGACAAAAGACAAACTGCGGGATGGATGTGCTAGTGTACATATACCTATGTGATATGATATTAATAAACTTGGATAGGATGTGCCCTGAGCTGCTTCGCCTCCACAGGTTCTCATGAACATGCAGCAGCTCCTACGAGCTGTTGTCACTCAATGGGAGAGGAGGATACCAACAATATTGTCGGAATCACTTCGCTTATGGTGCATTTTTGATTATAAGAGTACATTGCAAAACATTATAAGGAAACTAAAAATGCAAAAAAAAGTGTTCATTTTAGGTAGGAGAAAAAAAAAAGTTTTAGATTTATTATTGTGGTAGTGTGTGATGTGTAGCATGCATGATTTGTCAGTTTATTGTCTGTTTGTGTGGGTGCCAATGTTTTAGGTAGGACTGATAAATAAAATGAATAAATCAAAGGTTTTATATTTATGGCAGTGTGCAGTACGTAGCTTGAAGGTGACTGTGTGCCTATTCCCCCCCAAAAAAAAAAACTTGCACATAGTCTATACTCTTTTTGAAGAAGCACATTATATATGTGAAGATGAAGCGTTCCTCACATTTGATAGTGAGAGTATCACTTTAGAGCCCACAATTCACCACTACTGGGACTCTAGCCCTATTCATGCACCCCTGCTTTTACAGCAGTGATGCCCAGAGACCAGTTTGAAGCAGTGCTCCATAAACGTCTCATTTCAAAAACCCTAAACATCCTCATCGCCTCTTCAGATTACTATATAGAGATCAAATCTCTATGTATAATACAACAAAAATACTAAAGAGCAAGCATGTAAAAACTCTGAAAGTCATGTTAAAATAAGTCGCTAGAAATACATTGTACCTTCCCATTCCCATGTATTATTCTCAGGAAAGGGTATATTTTATATTGTCCAACTCACAGTGATAATTTCTACTTAATACAGTGATCGGAATCTCATTTTTTATCATTTGAATGAAGTTTATCATTTCATTTTTTACACACTCATAACAAGCAGTAAAAAAGTTTTTAAACAAGCCCTCACTGCACTCTGAAGGTGCATGCATTAATTCCCAAATTGTACAAGAGAAGTACTTTTAGGAGACATTGTCAACTTGCCCAGGACAAGACAGTGTCTCTGCAAAGGGTCCTGATCCCCTTGTGCTCACCTTGCCTGCGATACCCTGTCATTCCTTACTCTGTAGGAGCTGGCGCTGAAATTAATGTACCAGCAACCCAGAAGAGTATTGACAAGACTCCTTCGGTGTGGCAGTGCTTGGTCCTAGAGATTGGCTGCAAGGCTTGAGCATCACTCAGGAACAGGTCACTTGCTCCCTCATACTAGGAAGCACTGGGTAGTTTGGCTGGCTGCAGTGGAGAATCAAGTGGCGAGTGAGCGCAGGCAAGGGGAGTATAAGGGAGGTAGAAGGGGGTACCCTTTGCAGAGATTCTGTCACATTTTGCCCTGCATAGGTCGGGTATCAGTAATCTCGTTTCCTCCTCTCCCTATGCTCTGTGCTGTGTGTTAACATTAAGAATCTGAAGGCTGACAACTAAGGGCCCATTCACACCAACCCAGTCCACTGCGTTAAACACATTATGTGCGTTGTGTTAGGGCTGCCAATTCATTTCAATGGAGTGCCCAACATACCACACTAGAACAAAAATTGATTATGCAGCATTTCCGGCAGCACAATTCACAGTAGTGTGCTGCCATGCATTGTGCTGTGTTGCACCACAGTTGCACTAGTATGTGTCTTTCAGAATGAATCTGAAAGTGCTTCTGCTGTAAATTCCGTGGATAAATTATTGCAAAGTGTCTGCTGTTGAAATGAGGACAGCAAGGGTTTGTTTTAAAGCTAATTTATTGCCTGTTAACAATATTTACACCTTTGAATGTGTATAGCCTGGCTACAGTGGCATTTTAAGACTTACAATAGGCCACTGGCTTCTCTGGTATTATTATTCTTATTATACAGGATTTATAGCGCCAATAGTTTGCACAGCGCTTTACAATATAAGGAAGACATTACAATCACAATACAATTCAAGACAAGATGGTAAGGAGGGCCCTGCCCGGGAGGGCTTACAATCTAAAAGGGAGGGGCAAGTGATACATGAGGAGGTAGCTGTGCGGGGATGATGGTTTGAGAAAGTGATTGTTCAGTGGTTAGGTTGAGGTGGGATAGGCTTCCCTGAAGAGATGAGTCTTAAGGGATCGCCTAAAGGCAGTCAGTGTGGGAGATAGATGGGCAGGTTGGGGTAGAGAGTTCCATAGGATGGGAGAGACTCTAGTGAAGTCCTGGAGGCGAGCATGGGAGGAGTTGATGAGGGAGCTGGAAAGCAGGAGGTCTTGTGAAAAGCGTAGGGGGCGGTTAGGGTAATACTTTGAGACCAGGTTGGAGATATAGCCGGGGCCAGAGTTATGGATGGCTTTGTAAGTGGTTGTTAATATTTTGAATTTTATCCTTTGGGCTATAGGAAGCTAGTGCAGAGATTGACAGAGGGGGGTTGCAGACACTGAGCGGTTGCCTAGGTGAATGAGTCTAGCAGCTGCATTCATGATAGACTGAAGGGGGGATAGCCTGTGTAGTGGAAGGCCAATGAGGAGGGAGTTGCAATACTGGTACTGGTACTGATTATGCCCCAAAAAGCAATGCCAGCATTGCTGGTGAAACCAGCGAGTGGCAACTTAAGTGACTAGCAAAGGTCATAATGAGATTTGGCACAGAAGAAAAGTTGCCATCTATGCTTAAAGTCATACCATGGAAACCAACCATCCAAATTGCATCATGCAAATATGATATGGACATATAGGAAGTAACTATGATAGGTATCAAAGAAGGTCAATACCTCATACATTAATAAAAACAGTGTACTAAATATGTATTAAAAGTTCATGAAAAGCAAGAACCTGCACAGTCAGTATAAGGTTACATGAGAACTTTTCATGGCTGTGAGTTTTTTATTGAGAAAAAAAAAAGCATTGTATGTAACTGCTACAGTATATCTCCCTAAACTAATAACTGTATTAATCTCCCCTGGATGTACATGATCCTGGCAGAAAGTGATGAGATCACAAACACGTGAGGCACAGGTAATATCGGAGGGCATTATATACATACTTGCTGAACAGATTCATTCTCCTTTGGCTCATCACGACTCTGCAGATTGAACAGTACTAAGCCATGAGGATAAATTCTTAAAGTAGCAAAGCTGAAAGAGAGAGAATATATGTTAATTTATGATCTGTTAGGTCTGCAGCCACAATAACCTTACAGTTAGTTTGAATGTGACGTTTTATTATGAGAACATATTCTAATTCCAGAAGTAGGGCAGATTTTCACATTGAGCTAAATCTGGAAAATGCAGTTCCTCCTTTCTGCACTCACCAGGCAGCTAGATAGATTTTGTAGTACAAGTGGCAGGCTCCACTTATCTCTATTGTGGAAAGGAGCTGCCATACAGAGACAGTGCAGTGAGCACAGACGCTGGCATGCACATGCACATGGACACATTGCTATCATCTGTGCCTGCACTCACCCATGTTTGAATGACATCAATAGTGGTAAGCAGGGCCTGGCATTTGTGCACCAAATGCCACCTAGCTGCTCAGGAAGTACAGACTGGTAGGAAAGAGCAGCGGTTGCTCACAAGAAACAGGTTCCTTCTTCTTTTTGAACCTTACTGAGTGACATGAAAAACTGCTGCACCTTTGCTCAAGTTTAGGAAAATTAGTCCCTGTGTAATTCAGAGTTCTGTTTTTTGTCAGCAGAATGTAAAATATACAGTCATCACAGTAACATTTAGCTGAAAGAATCCAGACTGACGCAAACCGAACTTTTTTTTTCTTATAACTAAACACCAATCTTTCCTTCACTAAACCATACGCCAAAATTTAGGCCCATTCACATCAATACATCGTAAAATGTACGTTACAATGCAACAAAACATGTTGCTTGCAATCTCATTGTTTTGAGTAGGCCTGTTTAGCATATACACCAATTATTCATAAGATTATGACCATCCGCCTAATATTGAGTAAGTCCCCCTTTTGCCGCCAAAACAGCCCTGAGGCATGGACTCAACTAGACCTCTGAAGGCATTCCCTGGAATCTGGTACCAAGCCATCAGAAGATGATCGTTTAAGTTCTGTAAGTTGCGAGGTGGGGGCATCCATTGATCAGACTTGTTTTTCTACCACATCACACAGATGTTCGATTGGATTGAGATCTGGAATACTTAAAAGCCAAGTCAACACCTAAACTCTCTACTGTGCTCCTTAAACCATTCTTGAACCATTTTTGCAGTGTGGGAGGGTGCATTTTCCTGCTGAAAGAGGCCACTGCCATTAGGGAATACCTTTCCATGCAGGGGTGTACTTGGTCAACAACAATGTTTGGTAGTTGGTACATGTCAAAGTAACATCCACCTGATTGGCAGGACCCAAGGTTTGCCAGCAGAGCATTGCCCAACGCATCACAATGCCTCTGCCAGTTTGCCTTCTTTCCATAGTGCATCGTGGTGCCATCTCTTCCCCACGTAAGTGATGCACACACACCTGGCCATCCACATGATGTAAAAGAAAATGTGATTGATGAGAACAGGCCAACTTCTTCCATTGCTCTAAGGTCCCGTTCTGATGCTCACATGCTCATTGTAGGCGCTTTGATGGTGGAATGGGTATCCTAACCAGTCTGCGGCTACTCAGCCCCATACACAGCAAACTGCAATGCACTGCCTGTTTAAACACCTTTCTACTGGAACCAGCATTAACCTTTTCAGCAATTTGAGCTACATTAACTCTTCTATTGGATTGGACTACAAAGGCCAGCCTTCGCTCCCTACTTGCATCAATTAGCCTTGACCGCCCAAATCCTTACGCTTGCCCATCGTTTCTGCTTCCAACACGTTAACTTCAGGGACATAATGTTCATTTGTTGCATAATATATCCTACCCACTTCCAGGTGCCATTGTAACAAGACAATCAATGTTATTCATCTTCACCTTTCAGTATGTTATGGCTGATCGGTGTATGTTTTGTGGCACCGATGGAAAATAGTTAAGGCATGTTTTTTAATCCGTTGATGTGCAATGAGGGGCCCACAGAAGTCAATGGGAACACAAGAAAATGCATAATGCATGCTTGCTTAGTGTTGGTAACAGGCCAGGGGCCCTAAATTTGAATAATAGCATGATATTCTCACACCTAACTAGATGCTGAGCACATCATTTGATTAAATGCATGATGAAACCATGCGTAAACGCATAAAAATGGAGACAGATAGGTGTGAAGCCAGCCCAAAACATTTGATCCACATATTACCTTTCACAGATAGAAAGGAACATTAAAAGGATATCTAAACATCTGTCAAATTCTGCATGTGTCATGTCATGTATAATTTTGGCCATCATCTTGCCAGGAATATTATTTAAAAGTAGCATCCCATATATCCCCAGGTGCATGGCATCTGTGATCCCAAGAAAAAAATAAAAGGAATACTTGCAAATGTGGTAAAATAATTTACAGGTACACTTCTCTACTCAAGCTCTGCACCAAGCTTGGTGTCTTGAAGGACCACAGACCACTACAAACCTGTTATAATTATTTACTAAACTTTACAAAAATCATCTAAAAACTGATCTCTCAAGTGTGCATGATTTTAATGGTTACAACCCTGGTACCGAATTGTGAGGGGGTCTGCCCAAATATAGTAGCAAACAAAAAAAGAGACAAAATGATTAAGGGAACCCTGCAGTACCTCTATAATAAACTTCTTTATTACCAGGTTATAAGAAGCTACGGTAATTACAGAAGTGGTCCAAGGTCCCCTTTATCATTTTTTTTTTGGTTCGCTATTTACTAAACTAGGTTGTTTGTTTCTGAATTTTAAATGCTCCTCTTGGCAGCTATGGATGTTGTTAAAAGCTGCATTATTATTAGAACACTAAAAGTTGCTTAATATAAAAGAACTAATGATCTTTTTTCAGAAAAGATATATTCATTCAATCTATATTCGCACATGAAACTAAACTTTTGGATGATTTGTTTGACTTGTATATATGATTTATCAGGCTATATTCACTGAAGGAAGTCATGATTAAGGCCTGGTTTACACCTGGGCGTTTTACAGCGCTAATCGACGCGCTGTAAAACGCCCAGCAAGTGAAATCCCATACTTTACTATGGGCATGGTTCCCACCTGGGTGTTTGGGGCGTTTTTCCACGCGTTTCCATTGGTATTCCCGAGTGTGGATCGGGGTTAACAAAGCGGTAACCCCGAGCCACAAGGTCTTACCTTGTCCGCGATCCCCGCTGTGTCCTCCGGCGGCTGCCGACGTCCAGGTTCCGTCCCTTGCAAGCGGCCGCTTTGCAGGGGGGCGGAGCCGGCAGGAAGTTTGAAAGTGAAAAAAAATAATTTAAAAATAGAGGAAAAAATATCATACCGCCAGTGAAACATGCATTTCACTGAATGGAAAAACGTGCTAAAAAACGGGGAAAAAAACACTCAGGTGTGAACCCAGCCTAAGAGTCTGACCATTTTTCACAATCCAGTAGCTGGTTTTCAAAAAGGTTTTTGCTTCCCAAGTTGTCTTTGCACATTCCTTCTGTAATATTACATAATTCACTCATTAACCACTTCAAGACCAGGTGTTTAGACCCCCTTCCTGGCCAGGCCATTTTTCAGTGTTGCAGTACATTGACTGACATTTATTCCGTCATGCAACGCTGTACTGAAATGAATTTTATACCATTTTTTGGGGACAGATAGAGCTTTCTTTTGGTGGTATTTAATCACCACTGGGGGTTTTATTTTTTACTATAATTAGGAAAAATTAAAAGAAAATTTTGAAAAGAAAAAAGTTTTTTTTACATTATGTTAGGAAACATTTATTATTACCTAGTTTTTTGGTAAAATATAAAAGTCAGGGTCACGTCGGATAAATAGACACCAAACATGTCAACCTTTAAAATTGCGCGCACCCGCGAAATCGCAGAAAACTACCATACCCAAAATTGGCCATAGGCGACACTTTAAAAGCTTTTACCGCTCATCAGTTTAGTGTTATCAGTGATTGATGGCCCTAGA